AAATTCAAACTACCCCACAAAGGCCTACCATTTCTTAAAGTAGACACCCCAGGGTGTTTCAAAAGGTATAGTTTGAACCTTAGCGTGGGATCATTTTTCCGCTAGCTTGTACCAGATGTAGTGGTAATAAGCGTTTTTTCTGCCTTTTGACATACAAAGTGAGTTTGCACAGTATATTTTGCAAACCTTATGTGTGCTACGACTGTATAATACTTCATATGTTGCTCAGCTATGTCGGCTGAGTACAGCAATACCCCCGTATGTACCTTTGCCAGGTATGTGTGGACATCGGAGGGGCACATTTGGGACACAGCCATTCCAGTTTTTTTCAAACTTTGAATTTTTATGCTGTGCCTATGTCCCATTTTAGAGTATTTTACCAGGCTATATAATCCAAATTCCCCATAAAGCCATACCATTTCTTAAAGAAGACATCCCAGGGTATTTCAAAAGGCATATTTTGAACCTTAGCGTGGGATCATTTTTCCGCTAGCTTGTACCAAGTGTAGTGGTAATAAGCATTTTTCTGCCTTTTTGACATACAAAGTGAGTTTGCGCAGCATATTTTGCAAACCTTATGTGTGCTATGACTGTATAATACTTCATATGTTGCTCAGCTATGTCGGCTGAGTACAGCAATACCCCCGTATGTACCTTTGCCAGTTATATGTGGATGTTGAAGAGGCGCATTTGAGACGCAGCCATTCAGTTTTTTTATAACTTTGAAGTTTTACGCTGTGTCCATGTTCCAATTTGGAGTAGTTTAGACGGTTGGTTATTGAAACTTCCCCACAAACACATACTATTTATTAAAGAATACACCCTGGGGTAATTCAAAAGGCATATTTTGAATCTTGGCGTGGGATAATTTTTTCTCTAGTTTGCTCCAGGTGTAGTGGTAATGAGCGTTTTTAAAATGTATTTTTTTTACTTTTTATAACTTTTTTACTTTTAAAAACTAGTTTTTAAACTTTTGTTTTGCTTATAAATTTTTTTTAAACTTTCCTAAACTTTCTTAAAACTTTTTTACAGATTTAAAATTTTTCTAAGCTTTTTTTTTTACCGTTAACCCCTAACTAGCAGTACGCAGCAGTAACAGTAAATTCCCCATTTTCCCATAACTCCCACCCACCCCAGCTAGCAAAATATATAGTTATAAAATATTTAAATTATTAATTAAATAAATTGAACCCCTGAGGGTTAAAAAAATAAATAAAAGTTAATCCTCAGGGGTTAAAAAAAATTAGATCACAGTATAATACTGTGATCTCTATTTGATCGCTGTAGGCAGTGATCGACTGGCAGGGAAGGGGTTAATTTTATTTGGACTAGGTAAAGTGTGTTTTTTTTGTTTTTTTTACTTAAATGTTATTAAAACATTTTTTTAAGCTTAATTTTTAACTTTTTAAAGTTTCTTTTAAAACTTTTTTTAACGTTAACCCCTAGTTAGCCTAACTTCAAATCCCCCAATTCCCCACTAACTTCCACCCACCCCAGCTATCTAAATACATAATTAAAAAATAATTTAATTAATTAATTTAATTAATTTACCTCCTGAGGGTTAAAAAAAAAAAAGAATTAACCCTCAGGGGTTAAAAAAAAAATCAGATCATAGTAAAATGTAATCCCTGCCAATTGATCACTGTAGTCAGTGATCAATTGGCAGGGAAGGGGTTAAATTTTTATTAAAATGGGTAAGGGGGGGGGACTTTAAATAAACTTTATTTTTTTAAACAGCAGGGGGCAGGATCAGCACTGATCCGGCTCCCTGCACTTCACACAGAACCCGGAAGTGCAGGGAGCCGGTAGGTAAGTATTCAGAGCACATGTGCTCGCTCCGACTTGTGGTCAGAGCGAGCACATGTGCTGGGCAGCTTGACCGGGTGCTCCCGGTATGCCTCCAATGCAGAGGCATACCGGGAGCTCCATTAACCCCGCGATCGCCGCGATAGCGGCGATCCGGGGTTAATTTTACCGCGTGACGGACGAGGTCCGTCACCCGTCGTTAAGGGTCTCCCCTGTGTGACGGACCTCGTCCGTCACCCGTCCTGAAGGGGTTAAACTTGTATACCGATGGTATCTGGTGCCCACTCATCTTCATAGATTTCAACCCACACTTCTACCAGACTGTTGGAGATGTGGCAGGGAATTAGGCTCATTCTCTCACATATGGTGGGACTGTGATGAGTTGAAACCTATGAAAGTAACTTTATCGGATCTGGTAAATCTTATTTTGAAGGTACAAACTGTTATTACGGCTCAAATGTTCCTGTTTCATTTAGACATGCCAAGGGTCAATATAAAATTAAAAATTCTTATGATCCACATCTTTATGACAATCAAACTAGTTATGGCTAGAAATTGGAGAAATGTGGGCCCGTTAGTTTGGCAAAATATTTGTGTACAAGTGGATTATCAATGCAGGATGGAAGCAAGTATAGCAATAAATAAAGTATCCAAAGAGAAATATGAGTAGATTTGGGCCCCTTGGAATAGATATCTTAGTCTTAAAACCTAAAACCCCCCTCCCTCTAATGACAACCTCTCTTAGGTAACGTAGCAGCTTTATGTGGAAGTGTAAGAAAGAGGTCAATGTATGTAATCTATTGATTTTGATTGTAGTCAGCGTATAAATGTACAAAATATGGTTTTATTAACAATGTGTACAATACTTAACTTACTGTAATATTTTAAAACCTATTTTTCTTTGAAAGTGTGTATATGGATGCAATTTTAAATTGAAAAATAAAAATTTATATAAATAAAAAAAAAAAATAATAATTTTAAAAGTTTATCCAAATATATTCAATCATTTTGAAAGTTTATCCAACAATATTAAATTGAGGCCATAGTTTCTATCGAAGCTCTATTGTGACCAATTTCTTTAAAAATAATACATTTTACATGAACTCATTAGCCACTGACAATAGACATTTTTCAAGCAAAATTATGTAGTAAAAGGGTAGGACAGTGCCTTAAGTTTATACGTTTACAGATGGCAGATGTATTTAAAGGGACAATGTAGACACTGTAACGGCTTCATCTCATTGAAGTGGGATTTGTGTCTTGAGTCACCTGGCGTCATCCTTCCTTTCAGAGGGAACACTATAGTCACCTAAACAACTTTAGCTTAACAAAGCAGTTTTAGTGTATAGGTCATGCTTCTCATGTTTCACTGCTCAATTCACTTCCATTTAGGAGTTAAATCATTTGTTTCTGTTTATGCAGGCCTAACCCCACCTCCCCTGGCTCTGATTGACACAGCCTGCATGAAAAAAAACTGGTTTCACTTTCAATCAGATGTAATTTACCTTAAACAATTGTATCTCTTTCTCTGTAAATTGAACTTTAATCACATACAGGAGGTTCTTGCAGGGTCTAGCAAGCTATTAACATAGCAGGGGATAAGGAAATGTAAATTAAACAGAACTTGCAATAAAGGAAGGTTAAACTTTAGATGACTCTTTACAGGAAGTGTTTAGAAAGGCTGTGCAAGTCACATGCAGGGAGGTGTGACTAGGGTTCATAAACAAAGTGATTTAACTCCTAAATGGCAGAGGACTGAGCAGTGAGACTGAAGTGGCATGATGTATACACCAAGACTGCTTCATTTAGCTAAAGTTGTTTTGATGACTATAGTGTCCCTTTAAACTGTTTTTAATGGTTTAATGCTAAACAAGAGTTCTTAGCAACTGATCCCCTCTGTGTTACTTCAACTAATGAGGAAGCATTATCCTGAGGAGCACTAAGTAGCTGTAATTGGCTGAGAGTGTCAGCTGACCACTTTCAGCCTATCGTCGTGCCAACTGCTGGTATGAATTGGGTTTACTAGAATATAGAGTGTAATCTCTACTTTAGCTATACCTCCAGAGACCTTTATTTATAGTGTTAAACTGCTCAAACATGGTGTAAAACTGAATGGAGTAATAGTGTCAGGGGGCTGCATGTACAATAACCAACTTTTTGAGATAAAATAACCATAGTGACTAAAGTGTCCCTTTAATAGATGAAGTTATTATATTAATCTTTTCAAGTCTGATTTTTTTTTTAAATGTTTTACTTTAAAAGCAGCTGAAATGTGAACTTCATTGTCCCATGAAAATTGTTTTTGTAAACAGTCATTGTCTTTCTAGAAAATACCAGCGTACAAGGTAAGAAAAAATAAATTCAGTTTAAGGTAAATTTGATCCAGGGATAAAGATGATTTTCTTTGGTACCAAGAAGCAATTATTTTAACCCCTTTGGGAGTAAATTCTAAGGAGAAACATTGACTTTTTTTCTGGATCAACAGACATGGGTACTTAGAAAGATTAAGCACGATGGACTCCCTTTTTTCTCGAACTAATGAACTATATAACTGTGTATTGTAAGGAAATAACAGAACCTATTTTTAGCGTTTTCTTATCTTTTAAGGCTCTCCATTCATGCAGAATTTCCTTAATGAATATGTGATGTCTTTCTGGTTGAGCGTGGATGCTTTATCCGACTAAGGCATTTTTTACAAGGGGATTTGAACAGATGGGCTCCTTTATTCATGATTTAATATACTGGTTCATGCATATGCTATTGCATTCTTCTGTTAATATTGTCCCTTGTCACTGTGCATGAAATGCATCACACTGTTTTCATGCATTTAACCTAAATAACTCTGTACTTCCAGGCAATTGATATTTATTTAAATTGATGCTTTGTGTACCCTATTGAACGCTCATTTCTTATGTAGATCATATAACCGGCACTCAGTGTACTTGTGCAGAACATGAAAAAAAGAATTCACTTCCATTCAGTGTGTTTTATGTCCTACTTAAAATGCAGTAGTTAATTACAAATGATTATTATTGATCCAGATGTAAATCTTTGTATACTGCTGCGCATGTAAATAACATAGCACCATATGTAGAAGTTGTACGTGTCTTCAGTCATAAAAGAGCCTAGGGAGGGGGGCGTGGCTAGCCGCGGTGCTTAATGGACGTATTCTAACTTCACTCCTCCAGACCCGGGCAAAATCCACTGCAATCGGAGATAATCAAACAGAATAGGCAATCCCAAAAACCAGCACCAGACTCAGGGGCAACCAGGAAATACACCTACCGCTAAATCGGGCTCTATAAATCGATATTTCAAAGACAACTCTGACCACATGGCGGAGGCCGCGGCCGCGACCTCGAATATGGGGGAGACGGAATCTCTCCCTGAATTACAGCCGCAAAACCCACAACTCTCAGAATGCTCATTGAAATCAATGGACAAAAATGCAGAATCAGACATTAGAGAGCTAATAGGTAATTTACCCTCAAAATCCGACCTTCAGTTTATGATGGGCAAGTTGGAGGCTTCCTTTCATTAGAAAATGGCGGAAATGGGATCCGAAGTCCAACAACTAAATCTTCGAGTTAACGACCTAGAGGAAGAAAGGGATGTCATACAAGCACAAATAACGAACATCTCCTTGACAATGGATTCTCACACTCAATTCCTGTCAGCAACACAATGGCATATAGACAATCTTGACAACCGCGGGCGCAGAAATAATCTGCGCATTAGGGGGATACTGGAGGCCCAGGGCGAAGAACTGGTAACATCATTCTCTGAACTCTTTAACCCAATGCTGGGAGAGCTGAGCGATAATCAGATATTATTTGACAGAGCTCACCTCTCTCTTCGTCCAAGAGGGCTAGCCCAAGACTCCCCAAGAGATATCATCTGCCGGTTACATTATTTTACTATTAAGGACAATATACTGAGAGCCTTAAGAGAAACAACGCAACCGCTGCTTTTTCATGGCAATCCGATCCTGGTGTAGCCGGACCTATCCTGGTACACCCTTCAGGCAAGAAGGGCCCTTATACCTATAACAGAATTGATCAGAAACAGAAATATAAAATATAGGTGGGGGTTCTCCTTTGCTCTTATTGTGACAAATAAAGGAAATACTCTCTCTATCACTATGCCCCTGGATGTTCCTCCCTCAGGGCTCTGGATTTACCAGAAACTGATATCATGGATTGGAACTCTCCCTTGGCTAACCAAGATAACTCACATAGCTCCCTACGTCAGAAGTGGACTACCCCTGCCAAAAACGAAGAAATGAAATGACCGTCAGACAACAATAACCGCCAATGACTTACGTCCAAGGAACAACAACCCCAAAACTACCAACAGAATTAGCTTGATGTGGCACAAGCAATGGACTCTGAAATCCTTTACAACTCTCGTTCACACACCCAATCTACTTGCTTTACCAAATACACACTGCACCCCACCACTTCAATCTGAAAGATACAGGGCTATCTCAACCTGTGGAACCAGCTGGAACTAAACGTACATTCACAAGATCAACGAATATGAAAAAAGTAGATACCAGTAAAGCCTCTAGAACTTTCTGATCCTTAATCAAAATTCAAGCTTTACCCGCTCTAAGCCAATATTTTGTCAATCATCCTCTCACCGGGAGACAGAGACACAATGGAACAGGTCATATATAAAAGACTAATAGCTATAACAAGTATCATAGAGAATGAGGTCAGAACACCCAGGGTTAAGATATAACTATGTTTTGACGAAGTCTTTACTTTTATAACTATCCCAAATGCTATGAATCTCCCACGCACTATCCTTGTATTGGGAGTCGTCTGCAAATTGTTAAAACATGACTGTTCGATTGGTTAGAAGTTCTCTCAGTTGAAACACTGACTATAGTAAATAAAATTAGGCTACTTTGTACACACACTCCATGATTAGTTATGGTTTCATGTACCTGCATAGCTACCTAGATATATTCCAGTATCTGTTAAATCAGATAACCTATTTTGTTACAACACTAAGTACATGTCAAAACCCCCAACTGTACATGAACTGAGAGAGAAACGTAAAGACTTGGGATCACGGTAACCAGACCGAGGCACTACTCTCCATAACACAAGGTCTATAACAACCTATTAATTGTTCCTTTTTTGCTACTACCACAATAAGACCGCCATGTCTATGATCCACCAATGTATCAGTCGCTCACCGCATGAATATCGAATTTATACATTTGCTCCCTTAGCTGTACACTCCCCCTACTTCCTTAAGTATTAACTCCAAACCTCAGCTGTTTATCTAAAACAGAACTGATCACAGTAGCCCATAATGGAGCACAGGAGTGTGTAAATGTTCAAACGTTTAATCTTCCAAACAGTTAAATAATAAATGTTAAAATTGAAAAAAAAAAAATCTTTTGTTCCTGATGTTAATTCTAACATAACTATGAGTCCACCAAAACCTCCTATACCCCTCCTACATACCTCTAAATTTTTGCCCGCCCATGCTCAAAATACCCCCAATCTTCTAAAGGTACAAATAAGTATAGGATAGAAATCCCGGGGCCTATGCCTATGCCTTAGTACACTACCCCGAACAAATCAAGGTTCTCTCTCTAGCATCGAGAAAGAACTAAACTCCCCTCAGGGGAACTTTTCCTTTAACCGTTACCCCTTTTTTTTACCCTATACACCAAACCCTAAGCTCCCTCCTCTCCCCCTCAACCAACTCCACCCTTCCCTCCCCCAGACCTCCCCTTCATTCTCACCCTTTCTCCAACCACTGTCCACGAGACATAAAGCTACATAACAAATAAGGTAAACTAAGATACTACACTTACTTCATACTACTAATAAACTGTCATCACATCTTTAGTAGTGTAGTGCAGATTTTCGTAATCCTATTGCAACAAGCCACTAATAATTTAACCACTCTTTTTAATGTTATATGTTGTCATTGTTCTCAGAGTACATCCTAGAGCACCGGGATCCAATGACCTAAGTGAGACTAAAACATACATCCCCTGAGAGCTTGAACTATACAGTGACCTGACAAACGATACCGGCATCGATACTAATAGGTGACGTAACCAAACCAAACGAACCAGACTCTGGTCCTACCCTGAGACAAGGTAACAAAAACTTTTCACACACACGTAAGCACGACACAATACCACACACAGAACATCTCACCTACATAATTGGCTGATAGAGAAGGGATTTTCCCACTTATCAACTATATCACCACACTCAGGACAGCATATACCATCAGAACTACTTAATCAAGCATAAATCTCTTATCCTACCATGTCCCTTATTACAATACATACCCAAAACGCAAGAGGCTTGAACACCCCCGAAAAAAGATCAATAGCACTATCAGACTTCCGTAGATATAAAGCACAAATTGTTTTCATCCAAGAAACTCATTTCCGCAAAAACTCACCTCCTAAACTACAAAACAAAGACTACCCAAAAGGATACTTTAGCCACTACACTGAAGCAAAAGCAAGGGGGGTGGCTATACTTATAGGACAACAGACACAATTCACATTTCAAGAACAACAAGTAGACGACTCTGGTAGATTTATATTTATAAAAGTTAAAATGGGAAATACCCCAATCACTCTGGCCAATGTCTATCTACCTAACAAAATCAAACCCTCAAATTTTACATAAACTTTCAACATTTCAGGAAGGAATACTGATTATAGGAGGAGACCTTAATAGCTCCTTGGATGGGGACACCACAACCTCCTCACAAAACTACCAATCACAAACACACTCACAAATTAAAAATACCCTATATGATGCCCAACTATATGACAGCTGTAGAGGCAAGCACCCTACGAGAAAAGACTACTCTTTTTTCTCTCCACCCACAGGAAAATACTTCTGCATTGACACTATACTCCTACAACATTGATACCTCTGTTTAATAAACTCAGCCATGTACGGCCCGATCACATGGTCGGATCATGCCCCACTGACAATAGCCCTGTCCATACCCTCGCTTCCTACTCCCACCTCACAATGGAAACTCAATGACTTGTTATTAAATAACACAGAGGTCATTAATAAAATACAGGAGACACCAACAAATTACTTTAGAGAAAACACACACCCAGATATAACACCAATCATGACGTGGGAAGCTCACAAAGCGGTCTTCAGAGGGGAACTGATCAGATCAGCTTCTGCTCTGAAGCGCAAAAGATAACAAAAGGTCTCCCAGCTTACTCAAGAAATCAAATCCCTAGAAAGCGACCACTGTAACACCTCCTCCCTAGAAGGATATAAACTGTTACTAACTAAAAGAACTGAACTGACGATCCTCTTACTCCTGCATTCCAAACCCAGGATATCATTAATGAAAAAAACATACTACACTCAAGATGCAAAGCAGGGAAAGTCTTAACAAAATCCCTACAACAAGAAAGACAGTCATCCTTCATATCTGAAATTAAACAAGAAGATGGAACACTAACCTGTCAAATGCCAGATATAATTAAAGCCTTCCATAAATTCTACACACACCTATACAATCTTAAGGACACACAACCTTCCACAGAAGATATGCTTGAATTTTTTTTTTTTTAAACCTAGGATTAAACACACCCTCCCACCAAACGAGATGGCATTTATCGATGATCCCATAACACTAGAAGAATTCCAAAACACGGTTAAATCTCTCACCTTAGGGAAAAGCCCAGGTCCTGATGGATACACAGGGAAATACTATAAAATACTGTCCAAAACCCTAGCCCAACCCTTCATAAATGCCTTTAATGCACAAAAACTCTCATCCTCCATACCAAGATCGGCATTGGAAGAGACCATCACACTAATCCCAAAACCAGGAAAAGACCCTACATCATGTGGTAGCTATAGGCCAATCTCACTCATCAATAATGACCTAAAAATCCTGACAAAAATAATGGCCACAAGGCTAAAACCATTCCTGCCAGGCCTTATCCATCATGATCAAGCAGGGTTCGTCCCAGGCAGAGAAGCTAAAAATAATATCACTAAGGTCATTAACCTCATTCACTGGGCCCAATCCCACAAAAGCCATAGCACCCTATTGGCCATTGACGCAGAAAAAGCCTTTGATAGTCAATTGGACACTCCTTAAACACACAATGCAACATCTGGGCTTTGGCCCTCGATGGCAAGAGTGGCTAAACACCATATACTAATTTCCCATGACCAGACTGTGAATTAATAGTCAACTATCACACCCAGTAATCATTACAAATGGAACGAGACAGGGATGCCCCCTCTCACCTCTCCTCTTTATACTGGTCCTTGAACCCTTCCTCCAGGGGATTAGAGACAATAAACTCATAAAGGGACTCAACATCGGCACACACGAATATAAGATCACAACCTTCACAGATGACCTCCTCTTTAACATCTCAAAACCGACCACTACAATACCTTCAATCCTGTCGGAAATGCAGACATACAGTAAAGTCTCCAACTTCCAAGCCAATGTATCAAAATGTGACCTTCTACCAATCTACACAACAAAATCCCTTGACACATGACTACAAAACAGTTTCAACTTCACTTGGGCACCCAAGTTAATTAAATACCTGGGAGTTCAAATCCCAACCAAACTATACCATAAACAACCATAAACAAAGACCTTCAATCATGGCATAAACCCTGCTTTGGTTGGCTCTGCAGGATCAATATAATTAAAATGAACCTCCTCCCCCTTATATTATATCTCCTGCAAACACTCCCTGTCGTGATCCCAACCAAATTTGTTAACACAATCAGATCCGCATTCACAAAGTACATCTGAGCCAACTCACCCCCTCGCCTAGCTCACGCAACACTAATTAAAAACAAGGAGCAAGGGGGATTAAACTTACCCGATATAGATCTATACCACAAGGCAATTCACCTACAAAGAATCTATGAATGGACTAAAACCACAAAGATTCATCAATGGGTAAAACTGGAAGATACATTCGTGGAGACCCCTCTGGGCAACCTCCCGTGGCTCCAACAGTCCCCCCAGCTAATGCGGCAACAGGGTACCCATCCAACCATTAGCACAACACTTGAAATATGGGGTAAACTCAGAAAAACTACAGACATATCACTATTTCCATCCCCACTATATCCACTTACACAAAATCCACGTTTCCAATACAACCAATTGAAACATTTTATCAAACTTCAGAAATTGATACCTGATGGAGACAGAATATTAACTAGATTTGAACAATTATGCACCCCACATCCACTTAAGAAAAAGGTCCTATCAACGATGTACAAAATTATCAGGGAAACGCTAGAACAGAACATCCCAAGTTACACGTTAAGATGGGCAGACGAACTAAAAATAAACTTCACACAACAACAATGGCGCACTATTCTTTACACCACACACAAATCGACCACTTCACTGACTGCACAGGAGAGCAACTTCAAACGCTTAGCCCGTTGGCATTACACACCAGTAAGAATCCATAAAATACACAACACGACCTCTGATCTTTGCTGGAGATGCAGTCAGACAGAAGCTCACCATGCTCATATCTGGTGGCAATGCCCTATAATTTGCAGATTTTGGAACAGAATACACATTATTATACAATCAATTCTACAGAAAAAGTTCCTGAGTACACCAGACCATTACATTTTTCTTCTAGCTCCTCACAGTCTCACAAAACATGAAATAGCCCTCTTCAACCACTTAGCCATAGCAGCATCCCAATTAATTCCTAAGTACTGGAAACAACCGAACCCCCCTCCAGTAAGGGAATGGATTCTGAGAGTCGAGGACATTAAGCAAATGGAAGAACTAACACATGCTAGATTTGGGAATTATGGGAGATTCACCAAGACCTGGGGACCTTGGAACAAGTTTACTGCACATGATACGCACACCATACCCCGACCCAAGACCTTACTGAAACCACAACTTAACCATTAGCGGGACAGGCCCTCTCTCCTCTGGACAGAAGCTGAAACAACAAGTAACAAAGCTTTTGTCAACCACCCTTAGTAGACATCCGTATACCCTGACCAACCGTTAAGTTACTGTAAACTTGACTTAAAAAAAATACAAAAATCCAATAAAATAAGATTCTGGTGCTCTAGTCAGACGACACAACTAATCGCTATAAACTTTGCATTGAATGTTTTGTTTGTTTAAATTAACTATTTCTTTAACTGTAATATAAGCTATCTCATCGATTATACTTAACTATGTACAACCTTGACAATCCTTGAAGCAATGTCATCAAATGTCATTAGAACTATTAAGAAAACATAACTCTGTATTATGACGATTTCATTTATCAAGATGTACCAATGTATTGACTAAATATACTGCATAATGTACTTAAGCATCTAAACTGTACTCCCGCATTACCCATGTTGTAACTACATATGTAAAAACAAATAAAAAACATGAACAATATAAAAAGGGCCTGGGGAATTTTTCCTTATCTCTCTTGATCCAGCAAAGCAGTGAAAAGTAATGTTATGCAATGTCTGCGGGAGCATAGTTTTGTGTGTGAATGTAACAGAGATTTTTGGTACAGGAATCATGTGAGTCTAAGAGGGGGCACTTTGCCTAATGTCCCATTTTGGAGCCTTTTTTCCACCGTTCAACTTTCTAATTTGTCCATTTGACATTATTTTCTTCCTTCTTTCTACCAGCCTCTTCTAATAAATGTAACAGAGGGATGGGCACATGGTAAATTTGCAGATATTTTAGAACCACAACTACCATTATGCTTTGTTGTTCTAAATGCTGACAAAGCATTATGGCAGTTGTAGTTCTACAACTTCTGAGCATCTACCTTTTGCCCAGCCATGATGTAGCTCAACTTAGTCTCATCCTCTCTGCACCTGCCTCTGTTCCCTCATCACCTCCAACCACTCTTCTTTTGTCTTCAATTTAATTTTTGTTTGTTTGTTTTGTGGGCATTTAGTGTCAATGGAACTAGGTATGCCCCTGCTACCTTACTAGTTGTTTAAAAATATTGTTACTGTTAGAAATTCTCTGCACCTTCCTGGCATTTCACAAAGCTGGAAGAGTTGGCACATTCTTGGATGGTGAGAGCAGGTAACTATCGCAAGCCATCCTATTCAATATAAATATTCATCTGGAATATGGGTGATTAGTAAAACCAAAAACCAAATGTAATGTTAAAATAAGAGAAGACAACTGCCCCCCTCCACAGATTAATAGCTTGCCTTTTATTTAGGAATAGAAGTGTAATTTGTTATGGGGGTCTTGGTAACCTCTTCTAACAAAGTTAAATGTCAGGCGGTGATCCCATTAACTTTTAGCCCTAAACCTCTCCCAAGTAGAGTATTTTTGTTTGTTTTTTTAATTTACATTTATTTAGTAAATTGTGTGTTTCTCTGCCTGTCATGCATCCAGATGACATATTTAATAAATTATTTACTTATTTTCAAGACTATTTCATTGCAGTTTGTGAGTTTTCTAGCACCGTCACCAGCCTTATTTGGGTCAGTTTGGTGACAGTAGGATTTGAGACAAATTCAGGGTTTACATTATTCTCTTTGGATGACAGGACATTATGAAATTCCTCCGCATTGCTTTGGACTTCCAAGAATGATATTCATCAAATGTATTGCTACTAACACAGTAGATAACCATCGTAGAAATGAACACACAGCAAAGAGCGCCACTCAATAAGTTCTTGCTATTTGAGTTATAGTGTTGACTTGGAAGAGATGTAATAAATCTTACAATGAAGATGGGAATACTTTAAACAGTCCCAGCTGATTTTTATCAAAAAGCCAATAATACCAATATAAGTCTCAAGATTAATATGTGCAAACAGTACCGTCTTTACCAGGTTTATAAGGAAGGGCTTCAGTAATATGTTGGAGAAATAAATTAATCATCATAGTCAGTGAAGCTGATTCAAAAAGTGACTAAAATAACTCATTTGATGAAATGTTATTCTGAATGGACAGAGGATTCATCATGAAAATACATTCTCAATGAAGAATATGCTATCAGCTTAACAGATATACCTATTGGGTGATTTTTTTCATCATCTGCTTGGTCTTGACACCTCTCAAATGCCCTTTAAGCCACCAGGTAGTTCTACTTACAAAAACAGCAAAATCTAATAAACATTCTGTAGTGTATGACTCTAATTGGGAGCACTTAACTAAAAACAATTAATACATACTCACTCATTAAATGACTATGTTCAGAGTCAGTGATTTATAATGAATAGTGCTTACTTAATGTAAGAAAATCACCAAGTAGAGCCTTCAGAAAAGTTCAATAGGGTGCATAAGTTCACCAAAATCTCTTGTTTTCACAATTAAAATGCAATTCAATAAAGTGCATTTAAACAAAACAGTCTTGTGTGATATGAAAATAAAAAATGTGTGTAAATTCAGCAAAAATAATCTCACTGTTTTCACCCTGCAGGTGCCTCCTGTATGTAATTAAAATTCCATTGACAGAGCAGGAGATAAAAACTTCTAAAGTAAATTACATCTGATTTGGAAATTAAACCATTTTGTTTTCATGCAGGCTGTGCAAGTCACAGGCAGAGGAGGTGTGGCTAGGGCTTCATAAACGTGAATTAACTCCTAAATGGCAGTAAATTGCAGAGTGACACTGCAGAGGCATGATCTTTACACAAAAACTGCTTCATTAAGCCAAAGTTTTTTTGTGACTTCCGTGTCCCTTTAAATCTCCAACTGACTTGCCATCATATGGCTATTTCATATCTGTACGTCAAGACAAAAATAAGGGGTTTGTAGAGCTTTGAATTTGATGTGTTCCATGTCAGTTTGATACATTAGTTGACACCAGTTTCTATACTGAACTTCAAGAAATATGACACTCCTTCATTAAGTCCAATATGACACTTGACGGTTGTAAGAAGCAATAAATTTGTATGAATTTGTCAAATCTGACAAACATAAATCCAGTGTCATCAATCATACAGTGTTTTCCTTTCCCTTATGAATAGCATAGCACTGAGTGTGACCTCTGTTAGATACACCTTACACATTCATATTTTTCACACACTTAATCTTCCGAAAGTCCCACTCTCAATAAATAATATATCATTTTAAAAATAATACTGCTGATTCCTTCTGTATATTTAATAATGAATGCAGGCATCCTTCACATAGCAATAAATGTTGTCATCTGAAATTTCTTACTTGATGGATTATTGGAATTAAATGAATTGTGGGCACAGAGTGCCTTCCTAAATTTAACCGATTCTGAGAAATAAAATAGCATTTCTAAACGAAATATTCCCTACTGTGCAAAAAAAAGCATTAATAGAAGAGAGTATGTTTAATAACAAATGAAAGATTGGATGCTGATGAATTGGGCTTTTAAATTCTGCTGAAATTACTAAAAAAAATTTGGTAGCTTTTTATAATATTTATTTTAGAAATATGTTCTTATTTCTAAATGTAGTGCTCTTTTTTCTTAAATTGGTGGTATTAATTTTATGTACCTCGGGAGTCCCTAAAGAAGCCTTAAAAGGACAAAATGTGACCATTG